ACTAGTTCAGTAGTGTTGATAACTGCGAGGATCAATTTCTATATTCGTTTCTTCAACGGCAGGGGCTCATATACGATTTTCATATATTTTACAGTCATTATAAAAATACTTGTGTCGCATTTTGATTTAATTAACTTTTTCTGTGGGAACTAATACATATGGATCAAGGCAGGGCGTGAAATTGCGCCTATCACAGGCGCCAATGCGCTTAATACAGGCGCCAATGCGCCCAAATTTTTCACTTTGGCGACCAAATCCTGAAAGTTAGTCGCCAAATTGGCGACTAGAACGTTTCATCATAACCTTACCAAGAGATATATAGTGAATTAAAAAGATTTGCAAAGATAAATCCGCGGCAAACTTCCTTGTTAACTTTGTTACCAAAACGTAGCACATGCCTCTCGATCGTTAACTAGACGCCATCTTGGATTTAGATGAGCCTGAACGTTGTATATCATCCATCCTAGTTTCCACTTTCTAGCACATTAAAGATCTTTTCCCTAACTTAATTTTGGAGGGTCTATCTAGAACACTGACAGCGTAAAGAAAGATTTTGTTTGTCTTTGAAAATGGCGACCAACTTTTTTGAATTGGCTACCACTTTGAAGAATTTAGGAGCCAAGTGGCTTTCAGAAAAAAAAGTTAATTTCACGCCCTGCATAGGGCAATCATACAATTCTGAAATCATATGTACAGAACATTATCTGAATAAAATGAAGATAAACTTTTTGACTGAGGAATGGAATTCCAGCACCTTCAATTACTTAACTGACTGAACAAAATAGAATGAAAATACTGTTACCCTGGGCTCATGCCTACTTGCATGAGTTTTTAGTAAACTAAGAATAAATTTATGGCATTTTGATTGAATAAACTTCTTTTGTGAGAACTGATATTTATGGATCAAGGGCAATCATACAATTCTGAAATCATTTGTAAACTTTTTACAGGACATTATCTGAAAAAGCAAGCTGCCATCATGAAGATAACCTTTTTGACTGAGGAATGGACTCAATCAACCAAAGGCAGTTGTTCCACCTTCATGAGACAGATGGCCATAGAACTTTCTAGACTAGAAAATGTAGAAATTGGTATTTTAATTCCAAGTGCCAGTCCAGAGGATAAAGAAGATGCCCAAAAATACAACATCAAGGTTTTTGAACCTGAGAAACTTACAGGTTATGAACCAGTTAATTGTCTGCAGTTTCCTCCACAAGGATTTAGCACTGACTTTATCATTGGTCAGGGCATTAAGTCTGGATGTCATGGACAGGTCCTTAAGAATAACCTTGGCTGTAAATGGGTGCATGTGGTCCTAAGAAATGCAGAAGAAACAGCAATGTTCCAGAAAACCCCAGGTGCCATTTCCTTCGAAGGGTAAAAACAGCGTGAAACTGAGGTAGAATTGTGTAAAAAGGCTGACATGGTTATAACAGTTGGCTCTAAGCTCAATGAAACCTTTAGTTCTGCTCTGCATCAGTGTAAGAAAGATCATGTTTTCAATCTTATACCTGGCATTTTTGATGAGTTTTCTGGAGAGCAGAAGCAATTCAAATTCAAAGAACTTTGAAATCTTAGTGTTTGGCAAAGGGAAGACTTTGAACTAAAAGGTCTTCATGTTGCTGCCAAAGCTGTGGCACATCTCAATAAGTATGAGCCATCATACATTCTCAAAGTTGTAGGTGCCCTGAGGGAGAACAAGAGAAACTGGCTGGGAGGTTGGAAGATCTTGAGATCTCTCGTAGTCAACTGATTGTGAGAAGTTTTTACAAAGAAAGAAGAAAACTGGCTCAGCTATTTTCAGAAGTGGATCTTGTTTTGATGCCTTCGGGTACAGAGGCATTTGGTCTCACAGCTTTGGAGGCATTGTCAGCAGGTGTACCAATCCTTATTACCCATAATTCTGGCTTGGCAGAGGCTCTGGAGGAAGTACTTTTTGGGCACGGATGCATAGTACATAAAGAAGCTGACTGGGCTGAAAAAATCAAACAAGCACGAAAAAATCTGAAAACTAGATTAGAAGAGGCAAGCATGCTACGCAACAAGTATAAAGAGAAATACTGTTGGCAGAACCAATGTACTGCTTTTGTGACAAAGCTTAGGGCCTTGCATTCAGGTGTTGTTAACTTTATATGCATTTAACTGAAGTAAAATAATTAAATAAGTACCTAGTAGCTAGTTGGCACAAATCTGTTTATCATTTTGAAATTGGAACCTTGATTAGAATTAATATAAGAGTGAAATAATAAAAAAGGTAGACATAAATTAAGGGCTATTTTGATGGTATCCATGCAATTCAGATCATTGCTGATTTCAGTACAATATGTATGTTTTATAGTGCAAAGATGTTTTGATTTTCATGTGCTCAAAGCCACCAAATCTTAAAATGGACACAGAAATTACACCAGATCACAAGCTTGCTACAAAAATATGCAACAAGTACTAAACAGTTACTTACAAAGCCTAACACTGTAACAAGTTTTACCTCCTTAGTTCCATTGTAATGATCTGAGTTGAAGTACAGCTGCACCAATATGTGTTACTCAAGACATGTGGGGCTTAGATGAATGACAGTCACACTAATATTTTGATTAGTTGTCTTTGTGTAATTTGTGCTATTTGTTTATCGACATCTAACAGGACATGCTGAGGAAATGCAACAGGAGTCCCAAGGCAAAAGGCATTCAGCTCAAAAGCCAATGGCTGGTAATTACTTGCTTGTCTATTTTTAAACATGCCCTAGTGTTATCAACAAATTGCATCCTTTTAATATTGAGCAAGTACAAAACAATTTAACGAAATCAATATACAAATGTTTTTGGACTTTCTTTGAATATCAAAGAACACAATTCCTGGACAATGTAATGTCATAGTCATGACAATTTTCAATGTGAATACCCTAATAGGGGTATTTACATTTTCTGACAGACCCTGCTGAGGATCCAGACCTGTTTGAATCAAATGCAGATTCTTCTTACATATCAGGAAAGCAAAGAAATAGTGACTTAGTTTTAAGATGAAGGAACTGTGTTATTTTACATTTGTTGGAGATCTGTGGATTTTTTCTTGTTAATTGTCCATCAGATTTCTTTTAGATCAGTTCCAGGGAAATGTTTATCTTATTTAAGACACTGTTGTTACAAGGTGATCAACAAACTAAGTTGTTACTTAAAATTTTAAGGGGCAAAATCCATATGATTACCTGATAAATTCACCTGTGAGAACATTACCCCATTACTCCACAGGGATCACATGGGGTATTGACTAAGCAAGGCTTTAAGTTGCCACTGTTTTGGTTGCCATGGCAATTAGCCAATTTGGCCATTGATTATCTTGTGTTTGCTGGTCATGCATGGCATGACATTAGCCAGCTGTAACATTCTTTAATGAGATATGAACAATTTTACATAGTACAATTCCTATTGAAGTACTAGGTTTACAATTGTCACATAGTACTATTATCTCAGACATTAAGTGGTATGGTCAACAGTCTAGTTTATTAGTTGCCTTTGTGTAATTTTTGCCATTCATTAATTGACATCTAACAGAATGTGCTGAGCAAGTTGAACAGGAGTCCCAAGGAAAAAGGCATTCAGCTCAACAGCAAGTGGCTGGTATTACAACTCACTTGTCTATTTTTTAAACATGCCCTGGTGTTGTCAACAAACTGCATCCTTTTTATATTGAGCTGGAAGTAAATATTTTAATGAAATAAGTCTACCAATATTTTATTTGAACTTTTTTGAATATCAAGGAACACAATTCCTGGAAATTATAATGTCATAGTTATGAAATTTACCATGTGAATACCTTTTAATAGGAGTATCTCCATTTCCTGACAGACCCTGCTAAGGATCCAGACCAGTCTGCATCAAAGAAAGATTTTTCTTCCGTATCTGGAAAGCAACTAAAAGGTGACTTCCCTATAAAATGAAGGAACAGTGTAACTTTATGTTTGTTGGAAATCTGTGGATTTTTTGTGTTAATTGTCACCCAGATTGCCTTTAAGTGTTTATCTCACTTTAGACACTTTTTTGTTACAAGGTGATCAGTAAACTAATATATTACTTATTTTAAAGGGCAAAATCCATATGATGATGATTTAAATTCACCCGTGAGAATTTTACTCCACAGGAATCATTTGTGGTTTTGACTAAAGGCTTCTTTCAGTTGCAACTGTTTTTTGGTTGTTATGGCAATTGGCCAATTCGGCCATCAATTTTCTTGTGTTTGCTGGTCGTGCATGGCATGACACTAGGCAGCTGTAACATTCTTTAACAGAGAGATAAACAATTTTGCATTATACAATCCTTATTGAAGTACTAGGTTTACAACTGCCACATAGTACTATTATCTCCAAGACATTAAGTGGTATAGTCAGCCATTTGGTTGATTAGCTGTCTTTGTATGATTTTTGACCAGTTGATGATTTCATCGTCTGCTTCGTTGTCCTGGCCTTCAGGTATGCCGTCCATCTTATCAGCACAAAGGGCTGATAAGATGGACAGTTATATCCCCAACAAACTGTCACAACACAAATTAAATCTGATCAGTTCAATTCAACATAATATATATATGGAAGGCTTGTTCCCAGGACCACCAGACTACAAATCCTGTGTCCTAACCACTTGTCCATCCTGTTTCCACAATATCTGATGGAAAATCTCTGGCATGACCAAAAAAGCCTTTTCTCTACTTACCCCCCCCCCCCTAAAAAAAATTCACTTGCAGTGAATGATTTTAAAATTGTTACTGAGTCACAGTATGTAACAAGTGAGCTGGTAATCTTAAAATAATTAACTCTCTGTTTGTGTTTATATTCAAGAGGGAGTAGTAACTGATGATGACCTTCAAACACTTGGCAAAGCTATTGCTGGAAAGTGGGATCGACTGGCACGTCGACTACCTAAAATTGAGGAAGATGACATAGAGGAAATTGAAGACAGCCACAGGACTTTGTCTCAAAGGGGATTTCATATGCTGAAACTGTGGAAAACAAACAATGGGGAAGCTGCAGACTATAAGACTTTACATGATGCATTAGTCCACAGTATGGTACAGCGGAAAGACTTAGCAGAAAAAGTATTGTTTTGAATAATAATATCTCATAGATATTGCTCATACCAAAACCTGGCAGTTGGTTTAAATAGAGGCGGCCACTAGGTGGAAAGTATAGATAACTTTGCTAATTACCAATAAATTCCAGTTGGTTATTAATTGTAAGAATCTAATGATTAATTAATCCTTGATTTACATCCTTTTATCGATAGCCTTTTTACAACATTATACAACATGTGTTTTGCTAATTTTATACACGCATTTGATTGGAAGAAAGACGCATAGATGAGGAGAATGTTGAAGCTTTGAAATGATCGTACGTCGGCTCAGGAGAAAGTTCTTTAAAATAAAGTATATGTCAAGTACTCTGAGGTTTTTTAATGTAGACAACTATATATACTGTCTTAAAAAAAAAAAAGTGCTTGTTTGGAGCAATTAGGTTAGTGATTATGTGAACATTTTTTAGTGATTGAGGAACGAAACATTTGCAGTCGTTCGTCGTTGGTTATTACAGCTTAAATTTGTTTTTGTAGAAATCGAGAATGACGATATTTTCATTTGGCTAAATCTATATATTAGTTAACTAGCGTTTCCTTAGCAGCTGACTTTTATGCAATATAATGAAACATTTAGCCCGGTTATGAAATACATGGAGTGCATTTACTTTGAACGTTCAAGGTGTGGTGTTTCAAAACGTGTTTATGCTCCTTACTTACCTTGTGATAGACGAACGCAAAATTGACCATATTACGCCTGGTCGAGAAAAAATTCACCTTGAACTCAAGCCTCTTCCGCGACAGTGTATAAAAACCCTCAGCTTTTTGGAAAATCGATCAGATAAAACTGGTACACCAGCAATTTGATCACCTTCTGGTTTGACATACGCTTAGGCTCAATTCTCTCAATTCCGTGGATTTGACTGCTCTTTGACTTAAGATTTTCGCCCTCGGGAATTACTTTTTGTCAATTCATTTATAATAAAGTTCGGATATAACGCGCTGTCATTGATTGAAAGAGCGTGCTCTATCAGAATACAAAACACAAAGCTAAGCTGTTACGCCATCTGCCAAATTGTCCGACCTTTCCCTTGCGAACTGAATTCCCAGTTTTCTGGGAATTCCTAAATTCCCAGGGAATTCCTAGGAATTCTCAAAAATTCCCAATTATGCAAATGACCCTTGCAAACTGAATTCCCAGTTTTCTGGGAATTTCTGGGAATTCCTAGAATTCTCAAAATTCCCAACTATGCAAATTAACTCTGATTTAAAAAAGCTTGGAATTACTGGGAATTTCTGGGAAAGGAAGACTCCAGTTTTGTGAGGACTTGAATCCCTAGAATTCCTAAGAATTCTCAGCTTTACAAACTACCTATAATTTAAGAAGTGTGGAACTCTTGGGAATTTCTGGGAATTGAATTTGAGGCAATTTTAATACCCTGAGGTCCACATAAATTCTAAGAAATTCTCAATACCTTGAATGTGAAGGTTTTAAGAAAAAAGAGATGGCGGTGTTGGAACGTGTTGCTGAACGCTAGCTACAGTCAAGCTTTGTAGATTTAGGTACTGGTACACTGGGATCATCTATGTATCTCTTATACTTCCGAATGTGGTATCCTTCTTTTATAAATATGAGGGGTAAAAGACGATTTGTAGTCGCATTCAAAACTGTGATTGGCTTGTGTTATTTCTCACCTTTGCCATTAACACAACTCAAGTGAGTTTCGAGTCTTTGTTTCCTCGACAACTTTCGGCCACAAATCGTGCATTTGTAATACGATCGACTCTTGTCGATTATTTCTACATAGAGTGAGCTCACATCTTTATTTATATCACCAAGCTATCCATCTTCTAGAAGTAGAGAACCGGTCGGAGAAGTCAGAATAAAGTTGGGCACTTCTTCTAACACTGCAATCGGCAAGCCAGCGGATTCACTCTGCTAGCCAATGACAAGTCCTAAAAAGATCCACGTGATCATGCCCGTGATCGGAAACAAAGAAGACTCCATTTGGCGCTCATCTTTGAATGTACTTTTCATCGGTTGATCGCTTTTCTCAACTGTTTTGCTTAATATAACATTTCTAAAGATAGCTTTTATTGTGGTTCAATGGGAAAACGAGAATAGCGTGAGTGTTGTAAAAGAAAAGAAAGTCGTTGGCGCCGTGGAGTTAAAAAAAGGGACAACAGTTGACATATTGACTGGTACAAACAAGGGTCGAGTGGCCATCTGTAAAGCTACGATTTTGAAAGTTTTGGTGAGTAAAAATTGCGATATTCGTTACGTGATCAAAATCTTATAAAAAGAATAGATGTAGCGGGTTGAATTAAACTTACATAACGCTCGGCGCAACTGAAACTAGAATAATTCTGAGAATCGAATCGGTCACTTGCATGCCGCAGTTTCTTAAGCTTATGCTTTACAATGAAATAAACCTATCAGTAAGGTTTCAAGATTCCTCTAGTCACGTTTGGGAACATTCAAGATTCATAATAGGAACTGTTATTAAACAAACCTTAGCACATAAAGAAGCCCTCCTTGGTAAAAAAAAAAAAATAATGTATTCAGCCCTTTTTTAGTAAAATCCATGAGAGAGATGTACTAACTCCAATATAAAAGTCACTCAATATAACAGAGATTTCTCAATTTGAGAATCCAATGAATGCCCTTTTCCTCATAGCCATCTTAAAAAGCCTGGTCTGAGCTTTAAATATACATATTTTAATATATTATTTTTTTCAAATTCAGATGTCAAGGAATCCAGATACAAAATGGTCAAGGTTCTTGTTGACAACCTCATTCAAGGCCAACTCATTGTGAGCCCAGGAAAAAAAATACAAACAGTACAAACAGCAGCTAAGTTTGCAGTTTAGGATAACTTCATTCTAATTTATTGTTACAGTTACAACAAGATTTTAATCAAAAAATCAATTTTATTTGTCTGTAATTAGCCCCTTCACTTCCAAGAGTGCTTGGTTTTCAAATATAACTTAAGATATTGTATTTTATGGAAAAGAATCCACAGATTTTATTCACAATTTGTGTCAAACCAAATTTAATGATTAATTAGAACTATTTTATATGAATAGCTGTAATTGAGGATTAATCCGTATGAAGTTTTCAAGAAAAGAAAAATAAATCAAATTCCATCCTAATATTACCACACATTGATGTTAATAATTAATCAAAAATATTTTACATGTAAGCCTAAATTAAGCTTCTAAATAAATTTCATTGAATACTTGAATTTTAGCTGGGTTTTTTTTAATTTAAAGTATTTATTTTATATCATTAGCCTCAAATTTTTGCTTAAAATTCCCAGTAATTCTTAAACATTCCTAAACATTCCCAAAAATTCCCAAAAATTCCCAGAAATTCCCAGAAATTCCTAGGAATTTTTTAGATTTACAGCTTTTCAGGGATAGTCATTGGTTCTCTGAGTTGGAATTCCTAGGAATTCCTAGGAATTCCTTGGAATTCCAAGTCCTGTTGGCTATAAACTTGGAATTTCTGGGAATTTCTGGGAATTTCTGGGAATTTCTAGGAATTTCTAGGTTTTTAGAACCAGAGTTGTTATGGTTGGGAATTCCTAGGAATTCCTAGGAATTCCTACTCCGAATTTACCGTGAAAATTCACACCTTTATTCCTAGGAATAAATTCCTAGGAATTCCTAGGAAAATCCTAGGAATTCCTAGGAATTCCAAAAGCCATTTCGCAAGGGTTTACCGAGACTTCTCTCTATCCCTTTTTCGTTAATTAAAAGTGAAATTTGGAAACAAGCGAGCCGCCTAGTAGCAACAGAAGAACCAAACAAAGATTTGTAAACATGTCAAGTGCCGTAATTTAAGTTACTATAACGTGAGATAACGAGTTTCTCTGTACGTCTCCTGTTTCTCCCTATGATTCTTTCGTGCTCTAGCGGCTTCCAGCGTACTCTACAACAGAACAGAGCACAGTCAAGGCTTCTCTAGATATATAAGTCGTGTATAAGTCACGCGCAAATGAAAGAGATTCTTTTACCTCTGTCACATCCTGCTTTATGTTTCTGTACTGGATTTACGAATTTCTTTCGTTTGATCGAGGCCTTGCTGTAGGATTCATGCGAGCTCTTCCAAAGTTTTCGAGTTATAATTATTAGCATTTCACGACAGAGTACCTGCATAATTTATGCAAGTTTTTTCTGTGCTTCCCATGTCTCACGCGATAGCGTGCCTCCGGTTACGTTGACTGTTGTCATTATATTCATGACTACAGGTATAGCTTGTGGCGATGTCATCGAGTTTTCACGAGGAACACGCGATCAAGTGAATTGATTAACACCTCCAGATAAGGTGAGAGGGATCGCTGAATAATTGCTGATACATCATACCTCATGAGGCCTCCTATTCCGCTCGCTGCCGCCACGTATTTCATACTGAATGCGAATCATCGATCGCCAGCGATAAAACTCGTTTAAGCTCCATTTTGTACGAAGTGTCGGCTAGGCAAATAAGCGAAGGAGCATTCAATGAACGAGCGGTTAAAATAAAAGAACGTACTTGAGGATAGATGTATCCAGCATCATAAAGCGTGATATTAAAATTTCAACAGCATGTACTTTGATAGCCTTGGTTGGAAACTTAAGGAGATGAGATCTCATATCTGGGATCTTCCATTACAGACCCTATACCAAGGGTTATAAGATAAGCGAGGAGGCTTGAACGAGTGCTTTACAAAATATAGGACGAAATTAGATGAATCCAGACATTTAATATGTTGCAAATGAAGCAATGCTTCAAGACATGCCTTTGTAAGTACATAGGCTAGCCTTAAACTAATCTTGGGCCACATTTGGAAAGATAGTAAGAGGCACTCTATTTCTCATGATCACTGCCCTTGCTCTGAAATGGAAAACCCTGGGGTGACATATCGATGAGTAATCAGTTTTATAATGGGTTGGAATGGCATATGAATATGTATTGTATACTAACTGCTTTGTGAAAATAGGTGAATATCATCATGTAAATATGGGTTGAAATATTTGCAGGAGTTTTTTTTGTAGTTTGACATACTTTTCTGATTTTTAGGATCAAATTTTTTGTGCTTCAAAGTGAATGAAATTTCTGTTGGGAACAAATTATAACAATTAAAATTTTTCTTTTCAAGTAGCAGAACATTGAAAAGGAAGCTACATATAGCTGGAAACAGCACACTCTTGCATTTCATACCGTAGCGTATACACCCACCAGAAAAACAGGCTTAGTTAAACCGGATTTAACTGAATGAAAATCAGAAACAGAGAACTGAAATAGGCACCATGACTCAAATTAATACAAGAGTGAACCAAAAAGAGACAGAAATTAGAGGCTGTTTTGTATCTGTGTAATTTAGATAATTGCTGATACCAGTACAATATGTATATTTTAGTGCACAGATGTTTTGATTTCCACATGCTTATGTAAAGGCACCAAGCCTTAAAATGGACATAGAAATTACACCAGATAACAAACTTGCCACATAAATGTGTAGCAAATATTAATCACAGTTACTTACAAGGCTTAACACTGTTACAGGTTTCACCTCCTTAGTTCCATTTTAATGATATGAGTTGAAGTACAGCTGCACCAACATGTTTTACCCATGTGGGGCTTAGATGAAAGACAGTTACACTGATACTTTGATTAGTTGTCTTTGTGTAATTTGTGCTATTTGTTTATTGACATCTAACAGGACGTGCTGAGGAAATGCAACAGGAGTCCCAAGGCAAAGGCATTCACCTCGAAAAGCGGGGGCTGGTAATAACTTACTTGTCTATTTTTAAACATGCCCTAGTGTTATCAACAAACTGCATCCTTTTATATTGGGCAGGTACAAAACATTTTAATAAAATTAAAATACCAATTTTTTTTTGGGACTTTTTTTGAATATCAAGGAACACAATTCCTGGACAATGTAGTATGTCATAGTTATGAAATTTTAAAGTGAATGCTCTTAAATAGGGGTATATCCATTTTCTGACAGACCCTGCTAGGGATCCAGACCAATTTGCATCAAATGCAGATTCTTCTTACATATCTGGAAAGCGACAAAAATGTGACTTACCTTTAAAATGAAGGAACTGTCTTACTTTACATTTGATGATTGCTTTTTCATCTCTTGTTTATCACACTTTCGACACTAAACAGAGTGATCAGCAAACTAATTTATTACTTATACTTTTAAGAGGCAAAATCCATATGATCATGATTTAAATTCACCTGTGAGAACAATACTCCACAGGAATCGTTTGTGGGGTTGACTAAGCAAGGCTTTAAGTTGCAATTGTTTTGGTTGCCATGGCAATTGACACTAGCCAGCTGTAACATTCTTTACAAGAGAAAAATGCAATCCTTATGGTCAGCTGTCTAGTTGTGTTTGTGTAATTTTGCCATTCGTTTATTGACATCTAACAGGATGTGTTGAGGAAATTGATCAGGAGTCCCAAGGCAAAAGGCATTCACCTCAAAAAGCGAGGGGCTGGTTTTACTGGTATAACTCACTTGTCTATTTTTTTTTAAACATGCCCTAGTGTTATCAACAAACTGCATCCTTTTTGTACTGAGCAGGTACGAAACATTTTAAAAAAATCAATGTACCAATATTTTTTTTGGACTTTTTTCAAATATAGAGGAACACAATTCCTGGACAATGTAATAATTAATGAAATTAATATACCAATTTTTTTTTTTGGGACTTTTTTTGAATATCAAGGAACACAATTCCTGGACAATGTAATATGTCACAGTCATGAACTTTTAAAGTGAATGCTCTTAAATAGGGGTATTTCCATTTTCTTACAGACCTTGCTAGGGATCCAGACCAGTTTGCATCAAATGCAGCTTCTTCTTACATACCTGGAAAGCGACACAAAGGTGACTTACTTTTAAAATAAAGGAACTGTCTTACTTTACATTTGATGGAAATCTGTGGATTTTATTTCATGTTAATTGTCATCCAGATTGCTTTTACATCTGTTCCAGGGAAATGTTTATCTCACTTTAGACACTTTTGTTACAAGGTGATCAGCAAACTAATTAATTACTTTACAATTTTAAGGGGCAAAATCCACATGAAGATGATTTAAATTCACCTGTCAGGGGACACTACTCCACAGGACATATTTGTGGTGTTAGCCAAGCAAGGCTCTAAGTTGCAACTATTCTGGTTGCCATGGCAATCACCAATTTTGGCCATTGATTATCTTGTGTTTGCTGGTCATGCATGGCATGACACTAGCCAGCTGTTACATTATTTAAAATAGAGATAAACAACTTTTCATAATACAATCCTTATTGAAGTACTAGGTTTACAATAGCCACATGGTACTATTATCTCAAAGACATTAAGTGGTATGGTCAGCAGTCTAGTTGCATCCAGTCAGCCATCCAATGGTGGCTCCTAAAAGAGCTGTTTCTTTGAAGTGAGAGCACAATTATGTTACTGTAGGTTTTTAATCTTCCATCTTGAACTTGTTGACAATTTCATCTTCTGCTTCATTGTCTCGGGCTTCAGGTATGCTGTCCATCTTATCAGCACAAAGGACATCATCTTCTGTTCCAATCAGTTATACCCCCACTAGCTGTCACACATAAAATTAAATCTAATCAGTTTGATTCAACAAATTATACTTGATAATATGAGGAATGTGTGCATGGATATGTATTTGTATACTTTTAAAATCGACCTCCTCTCGGGATAAATACAAACAATCTAGTCCCAAACTTTGTAGATAAACACAGGCTGTAAAAACCCTAACTGGCAGGAGGCATACAAAGCACAGCCAAGGAGTTGAATTCAGGGAACCATTTAAGAACAATCCAGTGAGTGGCAGGGTGGTGGGCTTGTTCACAGGACCACCAGACTACAAATCCTGTGTCCTAACCACTTGTCTACCCTGTCTCCACAATATCTGATGGAAAATCTTTGGCATGACAAAAAAAAAAAAAGTCCTCTTTTCCCCCTTTAAAAAAATTCTTGGCAATGAATGATTCTAAAATTGTTCCTGAGTCACAATTTTAAAGCTGTTAATCTTGAAATAATTAACTCTATTTGTTTTTATATTCAAGAAGGAGTAGTAAGTAATGATGACCTTCAAACACTTGGCAAAGCTATTGGTGTCAAGTGGGATCGACTGGCACGTCGACTACCTGGAATTACAGAAGATGACATAGAAGAAATTGAAGACAGCCATAGGACTTTGTCTCAAAGGGGATTTCATATGCTGAAACTGTGGAAAACAAACAATGGGGAAGCTGCAGACTATAAGACTTTACATGATGCATTAGTCCACAGTATGGTACAGCGGAAAGACTTAGCACAAAAGTATTGTTTTGAATAATAATATCTCTTTGATATTACTTATACAAAAACCTGGCAGTTAGTTTAAATAGACAGCCACTGGGTGGAAAGTAGAGAGCTAGTTAGCAATAAATTCCAGGTGGCTATGAGTTGTGAGAATCTAATGATGAATTTATCCTTGATTTACACTCTTTTATCGATAGTCTTTTTACAACATTGTATAACATGTGTTTAGTTAATATTGTACACGCATTTGATTGCATCTATTGAAGGAAAGACGCATAGACGGTGGAAAATGTTGAAGCTTTAGAATGATCATATGTCAGCTCAAGAGAGAAGTTCTTTAAAGTAAAGCTGGAGTATTTTAGATAAACTCGATTATATATACTCGACTATATATACTGTCTTAAAAAATAAAATAAGTGCTTGTTTGGAGCAATTAGGTTAGTGATGATGTGAGCATTTTGTAATGAATTGGGAACGCAACATATGCAGTCGTTCGTCGTTGGTAATCACAATTTTAAATTGTTTTTGTACAAATCGAGAATGACGATATTTTTATTTTGCCATGGTAGTATTATAGTTAACTAGTGTTTGCTTAGCAGCTGTCTTTTATGCAATGTAATGGAATATTTAGCTCGATTATCAAATACATGGAGTGTATTCACTTTGAACGTTTAAGGTGTGGTGTTTCAAAACATGTTTATGCACCTTACTTACCGTGTGATAGACGAACGCAATATTCACCGTATCACGTCTGATCTAGAAAAAATTCACTTCGTATCCAAGCCTCCTCCGCGGCAGTGTACCCTCAGCTTTTTGGAAAATCGGTACACCAGCAAATTTGATCACCTGGTTTAACATACTTTTCAGCTCAACTCTTTTATTACCATGGATTTGACCACTCTTTGACTTAAGATTTTCGCCCCCAGAACTTACTTTTTGTGAAATTTATTTAAAATAAAGCTCGGATATAACGCGCGCTGTCATTGGTTGAAAGAGCGTGCTCTATTAGAGTACAAAACATAGAGCTGAGCTTTCACGCCATTTGCCGAGTTGTATTATGTCCGACCTTTTCCGGGACTCCTCTCTAGCTATTTTTATTGTCAGTTGAAAGGGAAATTTCGAAACAAGCGAGACGGCAAGTAGCAACAGAAGAACCGAACAAAGATTTGTAAACATGCCAAGTGCCGTAATTTACCTTCTTATAAAGTGAGCAGAGACGAAAATCCTCATAGATCCTCATAGAGATAACGAATTACACTATCCGAGTTTTGACGGTTTTCACGCTCAGTTAGATTGCAAGATTACGAACGTACTTGAGAAGTGGGGAGAAACACTCTACTACGTCTCGTGTTTCTCCCTACGGAGCTCCGTACGTCTTGTGTACCTCCCTACAATTATCTCGTGCTCTAGCCGCTCTTCATGTGCTTTGCAACGGAACAGCATAGTCCTATTAGGAGACCAGTCGTTTTTTCTTATCTCCTGGGTGGAGTGGGTGAAAGATATGAGAGGGATCACATGATTATCAGGGGGAACAGAGCGGGGATCAGTCGTCGCCAACAGATTACAAAGGAGAACTATAAAAATTGAACTTCAATTAACTGCTAATGAGGGGAAATTAAAAGAATATTGTCGAGCCTTATGGGGGATCAGGCAAATTTTACCGTCACACAGCTAAAATCCTCCGGCCCCTCCCATAAGCGAATAAATAACCGATCACTGGGGGATGCATCGTGTAAGTGCGGAGGGGGGGGGGAAGGGGCAGGCTTACAAGCTGCATGGACGAATATCTACCACTAGTAAATATTTGAAATGCGGTGACATGTATACTCTTCAATGAGCTAACTAGGTAGAGCTTTAGAGCGCGAGATATTACAGCGTGACTAGTGGCAGCTCGAGTCCTCTCAGCGGGAACTCATCAGATTTTTCCTTGTCACGCGCAGACGAGAGAAGTTCTTTTACCTCTGTCAAATCCTGCTTTATGTTGCTGTACTGGATTTAGGAATTTCTTTCGTTTGACCGAGGCCCTGCCGTGGGGTTTATGCGAGCTGGCCCAAGTTTTTGAGTTAAATTAGCATTTCACAACAGAAAACCTGCATAATTTATGCAAGTTTTTCCCGCGCTACCCATGTCTCATGGGATAGCGTGCTTCCGGGTTAGTTTTACTGTTGCCATCCATGATCTCAAGACCTCATTTTGGCGATGTTATCGAATTTTCAAGAGGAACGCGCGATCAAGTGAATTGCTTTATACCTCCAGATAAGGTGAGAGGGATCGCTGAACAATCTCTATAAATTGTGACATACTTTATAGCCACCTATTTGGCTCGCTCGCTTTTGTACAAGGTATCGGCTAAGCGAATAGGCGTAGGAGCATTCAGTGTACAAGAGTTTAAAATAAAAGAAGGTACTTAAGGATAAATCCATCCAGCATCGTAAAGAGTGATATTAAAATTTCAACAGCATGTAGTTTGATGCCTTGGTTGGAAACTTCCATCACAGATCCTATACCAAGGGTTATGAGATAAGCGAGGAGGCTTGAACGAGCGCTTTACAAAATGTCGGACGAAATTAGTTGGATCCGAACATTTTTTATGTTGCAAATGAAGCAATGCATTAAGGCATGCTTTTGTATGTACATAGGCTAGCCTAACTAATCTTGCGCCACATTTGGAAAGCTGATATTTTACTTGGCACTGCTCTTGTTCTGAAATGGAAAATCCCAAGGTGATATATCAATAACAAATAAGTTTTGTGATGGATTGGAATGGTGCTCGTATACAAAATTGCCGATCAGTAATATGTATTGTATACTGTTTTGTGAAAATAGGTGAATATCATCTTGTCAATATGAGTTGAAAAATCGGTAGGAGTGTTATTTTGTGGTTTGGCATACTTTTCTGATTTTAGGATCGATTTTTTATTCTTCAAAGTGAGTGAAATTTCTGCAGGGAACAAATGATAATAATTATAATTTTCTTTTCAAATAGCATAACATTGACAAGGAAGGTACATATAGCTGGAAACAGCACACTCTTGCATGATATACCTCAGCCTATTGACACACTAGAAAACATATTTAGTTAAACCAGGTTTAACTGAAAGAAAATCAGAAACAGGCTCGAACAGTATCTCGTACGGGCCTGAATTTTTTTCAGGCTTTATTTCAATTACTAGTTCAGCGGTGTTCATAATAGTCCATTTTACAGTTGTGTGCTTGGTTGCCAAGCCTTTGGACAGGAGTGAGGCTAAGGGTGACCTTGTTATGATACAAACCTTGCTGCTTTTGAAATGCAAATTAATTTGTTATCATGCTAACTAGATTCTGGTCTCTAACACAACAAGGTCACCTTCAGCCTCACTCCAAATCAAAGGCTTGGCAACTAAGTACACAACTGTAAAATGGCCTATTATGAGGATCGCTTCTATATTCATTTCTTCAACCGCAGTGCTCATATATGATTTTCATATATTTACAGTCATTGTAAAAGTACATTTGTCATTTTGAGTTAATGAACTTTTCTGTGGGAACTAATACATATGGATCAAGGGCAATCATACAATTCTGAAATCATTTGTAAACATTTTACAGAACATTATCTGAATAAAGCAAGCTGCCGTCATGAAGATAACCTTTTTGACTGAGGAATGGACTCAATCGACCAAAGGCAGTTGTTCCACCTTCATGAGACAGATGGCCATAGAACTCTCTAGACAACCAAATACAGAAATTGGTGTTTTGATTCCAAGTGCTAGTCCGAAGGACAAAGTAGATGCTAAAAAATATAACATCAAGGTTTTTGAACCTGCAGCTGAAGATTGTATAGGCTATGAACCAGTTGATTGTCTGCAGTTTCCTCCACAAGGATTTAGTACTGACTTTATCATTGGTCAGGGCATTAAGCCTGGACGTCATGGACAGGCCCTTAAGAATAAACTTAGCTGTAAATGGGTGCATGTGGTCCTGAAAAATGCAGAAGAAATGGCAATGTTCAAGAAAACCCCAGGTGCCATTTCCAAAGGGCAGAAACAGCATGAAACTGAGATCAAATTGTGTAAAAACGCTGATGTGGTTTTAACAGTTGGCTCTAAGCTCAATGAGGCCTTTAATTCTGCTCTGCATCAGTGTAAGAAAGATCATATATTCAGTCTTATACCTGGCATTTTTGATGAGTTTTTTGGAGAGCAGAAGCAATACCGAAATTCAAAGAACTTTGAAATCTTAGTGTTTGGCAGAGGGAACACTGAAGACTTTGAACTTAAAGGTCTTCATGTTGCTGCCAAAGCTGTGGCACATCTTAATAAGTATGAGCCATCATACATTCTCAAAGTTGTTGGTGCCCCTGAGGGAGAACAAGAGAAACTGGCTGAGAGGTTGGAAGATCTTGGGATCTCTCGTAGTAAACTAACTGTGAGAAGTTTTTACACAGAAAGAGGAAAACTGGCTCAGCTATTTTTGGAAGTGGATCTTGTTTTGATGCCTTCAGGTACAGAGGCATTTGGTCTTGCAGCTTTGGAGGCATTATCAGCAGGTGTACCAATCCTTATTACCCATAATTCTGGCTTGGCAGAGGCTCTAAAGGAAGTACCTTTTGGGCGTGGATGCATAGTACATCAAGAAGCTGACTGGGCTGAAAAAATCAAACAAGCACGAAAAAATCTGAAAACTGGATTAGAAGAGGCAAGCATGCTACGCGACAAATATAAAGAGAAATACTGTTGGCGGGACCAATGTGCTGCTTTTGTGAAGAAGCTTAGGGCCTTGCATTCAGGTTGAAATATTAATTTTATACCCCTTTACCTTATTTGAAATAATTCAGATTAAGTATCTAGTAGCCGATTGGCACAAATCTGCTATCATTTTGAAATAGGCACCATGACTTGAATTAGTATAAGAGTAGCATTAAAAAGTACATAGAAATTAGTGGCTGTTTTGTATCTGTGAAATTTAGATCATTGCTAGTTTCAGTACAATATGTATGTTTTAGTGCAAAGATGTTTGATTTTTGTGTGCTCAAAGGCACCAATCCTTAAAAATGGACATAGAAGTTACACCAGATAACAATTAAACTTGCCACAAAAAAAAAAAAATATCCAACAAGCATTAATCACAGTTACTTACAAGGCTTAACACCATTACAGGTTTCACCTCTTTAGTTCCATTGTAATGATATGAGTTGAAATACACCTGCAATAGCATGTTTTACTCATGTGAGGATTATGTACTTTATAAATGAATTACAGTCTGATACTTTGATAATAGAGGAGCTCGCAGAGCATAGCCCCATAATTATACAAAATAGTAGTAACCCATCAAGCCGAAAAATTGGGTGTACGACCCATTACAACCATACAAGGTGCTACTTTTAACATGCCTGGTCAACTGTACTGCAGGCACACCAACACAACAGCTTTGTCCAGTTGTCCAATGGTCAGTGCACTGGGCTCCGAGTTGGACGACCCGGGTTATAGTCCTGGCTAGGGCAAGGCCTTGTGCTCTTGAGATGTGCAGGAAAAAAAAAAGTGAGCTCCTCTTTTAGACTTGGTTAAATCTATATATTAGTTGTCTTTGTGTAATTTGTGCTTTTCCTTTGTGACACCTAACAGGACATGCTGAGGAAATGCAACAGGAGTCCCAATACAAAAGGCATTCAGCTCAAAAGCGAGTGGCTGGTAATTACTCACTTGTCTATTTTTTAAACATGCCCTAGTGTTATTAACAAACTGCATCCTTTTTATATTAAGCAGGCATAAAACATTTCAATGAAATCAATATACCAATATTTTTTTGGACTTTTTTTAATATCAAGAAACACAATTCCCGGAAAACATAATGTCATAGGTATGATATTTTCAATGTGAATGCCCTTAAATAGGGGTATTTCCATTTTCTGAGAGACCCTGCTGAAAATCCAGACCAGAGCCTGGTTTGAATTTGTTTGCATGAGTCTCACACTCAATGTGAAAGAGTTCAGAGAGCTCAGCATGTAGAAGCCTTATTGACCTTAATGACAACATAATAACTTCCAGGTGATTTTTACTTCCACCCTTGATAAAATTTTTGATACGAAAAGCTACCAGAGAAGAAAAATTCTGTCCTTCAACTAATTGTAAAAAGTGGGTTCCAGGAAGTATTTATTCAGTGAGCAACTTGTTCATTTAAAGATATTTAAAATTTGAATTTGTATCAATAACATGCCCAACTGATTTTGGTCAACTCAGGAGTAGAAAATTTGAATTTTTTTTTTCCAACCCTCCATTAGTTGCTGATGTAAAGAAGGAGGAGAGAGATAATGAAGATGGCCACAAAGCAAAGAAGAGGCAAGAAAGTTTTGTTTGGATCCTATGTCACCCTAAATTTGTGGTTTAGGGGGTGATATTATAAGGAGAAATTAAGTGCTAGATTAATTAAGTGACTCTTAGAAATCCCATGGTTAGCATTTTGTTCTGTTTCTGACGGTGTGAGGATTATTTTATCTGCATTAATTTCTTTACTCTGAAGTTCAAATGCATTATTTAGTTCTCTATCAATTCTTCCAGATAGGCTAAGCATCTTTTACATGAAAATTTTGCCCTTGCACAGTGACTAGTTAGCTCCCACTGTTGGCTAAGATAACATTGTTGTTTTGAGCTCTCAATAAAAGTCCAAGAAGTTCTAAGTGACAAGAGACTTTACTAGCCACTAATCTCTTACAAAAAAATACAAATTCCTTAGGATCAAAATGGAGGAGTAATTATTCACTTCATGTGGATTTTTTGGTTTTAAATGCTGTATTTTTAGGCAAGATTCAATATGCTTTAAGAGTTCTTGTTAGCTGTGTTAATTTATTTTGTTCATCACTGTGGACATTTATCCATCATCACAATGCATTGACCTCCATGATAGCACAAAGAAAAAAAAACATACTAGTTAAAAGGTAAGAGCCATATCTTGTGGGAACATGGTTCTCCATATAATACAATGACATGTTGCATTTTCAGCAAAGAAACTGCAATACAAGACTCAAAGAAAATTTCACCTGTTGGGAAAAAAGATGGCAGAAAAAATGAGTGATCAGAAAGCTGGTGAGACACATTCTCTTTACTGTTCTAATGTTTATACACCTTTATATCATGCATTATATCAAAAACATGTGCTACTGCATGATCTAATAGCTTCCAAATATAAGATATTCAATTAAAGTTGTTGACACTTTACAAACTTGCAGTCTACCCATCAGAAGAAGACAGGATCGTGATTGAAATTGGTTCATCAGAGGATGAGGATGAAAGGTCTGATGATGAACCATGTGCCTCTGGACAAAATGTGGCTGGTTAGTAGAATGCCTATTTTTATTGTTACAATAAATAGTACTAATTATATATTACCCTTCCCACCCCCTGAGCTTTCTACACAGAGCCATTTGCAACCCATGGATAGGTTAGTGGCTGGGCTGCATGCATGAATTATTCTTGAACAGTATAGTGATTGGAGGCCTTCTTAACTTCAACAGCACTGGTAATATTTGAACGTATTTATCTCAGAAGCAATTGGGTAGTTATAGTAAGGTTGCATCAATCTGAAACAGGCATGTTTCTTTTAATTGTGAAAGTTTATACAATGAACTATAAGATGTTAGTAGTTATATATAAGTTTGGACTATAAAGTTTTAAACAAGAATCAACATTATAACAAAATATAATTATATGGATAGTTAACAGGCATGTTTCTTTTAATTGTGAAAATTTATACAATGAACTATAAGATGTTAGTAGTTATATAAACAATAAGTTTGGACTATAAAGTATTAAACAAGAATCAACATTATAACAAAATATAATTATATGGATAGTTACCATGCCAATGGAGAATACAAATGACTTTTAACTGTGCTAGTATTTCAGTTTTATCCTGTTAACCCTTCAACTCCCATGAGAGACCAAGACAGAACTTCTCCTCTCAATTAACATCCATACAATATCAAGTAGACAAGTGATGAGAATAAAGAGAAATATAAATTAGGGGATTATTAGTTGATCCAATAACAATACCCAGGGGCTGCCACTGCAGCCAGCCTGGTCCCCTAAGTAGAATACCACTTATAATATTGACTAGAGCTGTGAAAGAAACAGTGAAGAAGGGTGGGATGGGGGAAGGCTTTGTTCCACATGAGCCTGAACTTATGAAAATACATTGCCTCTGACCAGAAGAGCCTGCTGTTTTCACTGCCTGACAGTTACTGGGTAAATTTTATTTCAATAGATCAAAATGAATCACTTATTGTCTAAGCTTACTATGCCAGGACCCATATTTTAGCCTGAAGAACAGGTGTCTAAATTCTTTTGCCTTTTTCAGTAGAATTGAGGCAAGCATGAGGCAAGCACAAATTCAAGGGGAGGAATTATTATTTGCACTCCTACCCATGCATGATCTGCACTTGCCTAGCACTTATCTCCTTTGCCTGAAAAGCACAACAAATTATGCCAGTTCTGTAGGCTAAATCTCTTAAACTTAAGTTCTTTAGACAAACTAGTTAGCAAGAGGAAATGCTAACTCAAAGAAATATAACATTTTTACCCTAACCTTTTCACCTCTCTTACTTACATACTAGCTTATGGTTACACTGAAGTTAAGCAAGAGGAAGAAAATGGCTCAGCTGCCAAAAAACCTAAACTTGATACTGTTGAAGAATCTGGAACTTCTGGAGTATCCAGCTCTAGTGAGACAAGGAAGTTTAAGGGTAAGGGCATAAGGAAAATTACATTTTCAGTTTATTAATTATGCAATAGCATGATATTTTAAGGATTGATCAAGTAAAATTTCTTTGGAGACTTAAGGAACCTTCAATCTCTGTCACAATAGTTTTTTTGGTGATAAATTGTTAAGGACTCACAATAAGTTATACCTCTCAATAGCTGTCAAAACAGAAATCAACTCTGATCAGTTTGATTCAACATATATACCTGATAATATGAGGAATGTGTGTGTGGATATGTATTTGTATACTTACCAGTATAAGATTGAGCAGTCTCCCCTGACAGGGCTCATCTCAGGACCAATGTGAACAATCTGGTCCCAAAAATTGTAAATAACCATTAACTTGCATAGCCTCATCAACCAGAAGAAAAGCAAAAAGGCCAATCAGGATTTAATTAGGCAAAATGTGATTTACCCAGGGGTTAGCGCCAACCCTTAATTGCTGACGTGATGATTAATTTTTTTTAAAAAAAAAGGAAAATTAGGATCAAGACATTCATAAATCAGTTTGAATTAACTGAATTAATTCTTTCTATGATCATAGTTTAAATTCTCCTGTGGAGAAATTACTCAAGAGTAATCATTTGTGGTTTTTACTAAGCAGGGTTTTAAGTTGCAATTTTTTTGGTTGCCATGGCAATTGGCGTATTTGGTCATCGGTTATCTTATGTTTGCTGGTCGTGCATGGCATGACACTAGCCAGCTGTAACTTTCTTTAAAAGAGAGATAAACAATTTTGCATAGTACAATCCTTTTTGAAGTACTAGGTTTACAATTGCTACATAGTACTATTCCCTCAAAGACATAAGTGGCACGGTCCGTCACATTTGTTGTTCAACAAAACTTCTAATAGTAGAGTGAGTTTAACAATGTTGTGTAGCAAGCGACTTGCTGCTCTAGGCTGCCAGCAGTTACATCACTGGAGCAGACCTGGTGTCCAGTGGTCTAGCAGTGAATGGCGTTGCACATGACATGCCACATGGTCAGCACTAGTTGGGAAAACAGGGATCTAAGAGGAACACTAGGATCACTAAAAGGAAAACTAGGATCAAGACATTCATAAATCAGTTTAAATTGGCTGAACTAAGTTTTTCTGCTTCCTTTTTTTTATTGACAGTGTTGTATATGGCAGTTATTGTATAGAAATAAATACAATTAATCACACAAGAAAACTAATTAAGATATGTCTGGATGCAGTTTATTAGACTGCAATCTGGCACTTTATCATGAGGGTCTCAGGTGCATAGCTAGCATTCACTCTAATATAGGCTTGTAGGGATGATGTGAATATGTGCATGAATAAAACACCTGTTTGGAGACTGAGGAATTGCAGCTTCAAAGAAATCTTTTGCTCACTTAATTTGGTGCCTCAGGGGACTCCTGTTTGAGGGATCTGTGTTTCAGCCCTGGGTAGGTCTTTAAAGGTTAATCCCTTAAACCCTGAGAGTGACCAGCATCTAATTTCTCCTTACAGTAATTTGGCTGAATCATTCATTAAGGTCATGAGAATAAAAGAAATGATCACCACCCAAAGAAGCTTTGATTGTGAGACAAATTCTCCTTGTCAGTACCAGAGGAAATGTCTAGAGAAGAGTATGGAGAATGTGGATACTGATGTTAGGGTGTCAAGAGTTAAATGTTCTTTATTGAGACTGACTTTACTCTCACCCACTGCCTCTCTCCACCCAGGAGTATAAATGGGTACTGATGAACTGTCAGAAAACCTGATCAATGTTGAAGGGAGGGGAGGGAGGTGATTAGTTGTAATGGATGTGCATCTCTTCACAAGATGTAGTCACACATGCTTGCTCCATGGAAGCCAGGGTAAACCACTGCAGTATTGGCCCTCACTGTAAGAGGCATTTTAGAAAATATGTCATGGGTTGAAATGCTTAAACATGTCTCCCTGCTGTATTTACCATAAATAGAATGCACCTTTCATTTATTTTGAATTAATTTTTTTCTGTGGTAGTGAGAAAAGGCAATCCTGAACTTGATGAATTAGAACAACTGGCCAATGACATTGATCCTAGTGTGTGGAAGAAAGTTGCAAGAAAGTTAAAGATTGACAATCCAGTGATCACAGCAATAGATAAGGAAAATGATGAATTTTATGAAAAGAAATACACAATGCTGCAAAAATGGAAGCAGGCAAATGGAAGTGCTGCTACGTGGAGGGAACTTAATCAGGCTCTAATGGATGCTAATCTCAGGGAGTTAGCAGAGAAGCACTGCTGTGTAAAGATGAATTGAAAGGGACTATTTGTCAGGAACGGTTTTCTATCAAACACTGTGCATAAGATATTTCTTTGCTAAAAATTGTCACACTTTGGTAAAAAGTTTGCTCCAGCACTTAAAATGCATTTTTTAAGTTAGCCAGGTGATAACCAATGGGATCGGTCCTTCCTGAACTGCACAACTTTTTATTGAAACAGGTGTTTGTGATTTTTATAATTATGAAACCAGGAAATGCTCATTTTGGCATTTGGAAAAGATAGAACTTGATGCTACCTTTAAAAGCCTAAATCCTTAACTTAATTGTGTATTATACCTCTTTATAATTATTTCCAAATTTTTTTACATTTAACCTTCTTCATATGCTTGGTAGATAGTATATAAGTCTGACTTGTAATTATCTGAAAAAAAATTATTCTGTATTTTTATCCATGTATTTACCAATCTACTATAAAAGTTCTTATTTTGCACAGTTAGTTTAATTAGCTTTTGTTTGATTAATTAGCCTGTTGCATTTTATTTTCATTGCAACAATCTATAGGCATGATATTCTGGCGCGCACTGCGCATTGGTTCATGTCAAAGATTGGCTAAGCTTTCCATAGAACCAAATGTATGCATTGGAAGAGATCCGATCGAAAGAGTCAAATATACCAAAATACTTGGAATCTCTTACGTGGAGCAAGCATGTTTAAGAAATAACTAAAAAGATTACAGCAGGAATTAGTGCTTTACAACGGCTCAGACATTTTGCAAATCGAGATATACTTGTTTCTGTTTATAATGCACTAATTATGCCTCATTTTGATTATTGTTGTGAGGTTTGGTATTCGTTAGGAAGTGCACTAGCCGAAAAATTGCAGAAACTCCATAACAGATGTGCTAGGGTAATTATGCCTTGCAAAAACGAGGCTGGACAGTCTGAATTAGCCCTATGTCATCTTGGCTGGAGTTTACTAAGGGAACTAATTGAATTCAAATTAAGGCTAGACAAATGTGTAAGGTTCTCCATGATTTGGTACCTGCGAGGCTTTCGAATATTTTCAGGGACTCAAGCTCGGCTAAGAATTATCATCTAAGGGACGCTGAGAATTGGTTGGCCGTTCCGTTGCCCAAGACTAAATTTTTAAAGAAGAGTTTCAGCTATAATGGTGCTAAGATCTGGAATTCCTTACCAAATGAAGTATGTAATTGTGAAACTTTGGCTACGTTTGATAAGCTTATGCATTAATTTATTTTTATAAAATAATTCAATAGAACGCGCGCTCTGATTGGTCATGAAACCATTTTACATGAGCGTATGTAAACACGGTTTTCATACTGAATCTTCTCGCGGAGTTCTCCCTGCTATTTGTTTAGCAGTAACTCAGTTTCTTTAAGTTTGTTTTGAGTACAGTAATGGATGAAGAAGATTTTCCTAATTTTTCTTTGGAGTTTAATTTTCCCAGTATTCAAGAAACGGCCGAAAAGCCAAATGAACAATAACAACAAGCACGTCGCTTTCCTTCGTTGTAAGAAGAGGCTCTTTCATTAATTATTTTATAAAAGAAATGTAAAATGGTTTCGCTTATCTCGTGTTCTCCCAACCTCCCGCGTAAACACGGAAACCATTTTACCTTTCTTCAATATTTAATGCATTAATAGTTTAAGTCATGGATATTATTGTGTATATATATATATATATATATATATATATTTATATGTATACATTTATGTAAATGTATGTATTTTTTTTTCTTATATATATTTTAAGTAGGTTTTTACTTTTATACTTAGTTTACACCCCTACTGGAAACCAGTTTTTTATAACGTTGATGATAGGCTAGCGTGTCTAAAAAAAGTTGATCTCTTTCTCTCTCTCGCGCACGGTTCGCATATTCGTATGACAACAGCCTTTAAACAAAAGTTCTTAAGGGAAGCTTATGAGAAAGACGAAAACTTGGTTTCAACGACAAGACAAATAGACAAGTCCCACTCATGCAAGGTTCGATGCCGCACCCCCCTCCCTTGGGAACGGATGACGGTCAAATTTGGCCAGGGGGATGTTGAAGCTTCGAATCGATCGTTACATAACATCCTCAACAGAGTATTGCGTAAATTGATGTGTAGGAGCTTTAGCGCCAATTTTTAACTTGTTTCAAGCTTGTTCCTCAAGAAAGTTCAATTTTTGATTCAAAATTTGCAAGTCATGTAATTAAAGTCACACGGACGGATAAAAATATTGTAGGCGCTGATCTACTGGTTACGCCTCAGAAACCTTGTAATTCATCTCTACTAAGTTACTTGCAAGTTCCCCCTTCCCGCAAACAATTTCGCTTGAAATTTGTGATTATTAGGTATTAGAAAAATTCGAAAACTAGTAGAGCATGTCAAGACTATTGCCACTCATTGTAGTTTAGCTAAATATATGTAGTTGTAGCTCTATGTCTGGTGTCTTTTTATCTGCTAAAATAGAGTTGTTACTTATAGATCTTTTATTATTTCTGCCTCTGATCAAACAAAAAAACTAACTGATAACTCGGAGGCACTCAGCAACACACTTATCATACATTAATGCTGTAGTACACTAGCGCACGTTTTTCCAATTTCAAATCCAACCAACTAGATTCGACAGCAACCAACATTACTTTTATTGCAAGTTTTAGATCCCTCGTGGCACCGTTTGTATTCTCCTCTCTCTCAAAAGCAAAACTTCAGGGAACTAAATCACAGTCAGTCAAAGCGTATCATGCAGGAGACGTAACTCCTTGACTCAAATCAGTTTTCTGCTACCAAATTTACGCGCTAGAAGTGTTCCTTTGATGTATAGATCTCACTTAAGAGAAATTTGTGTTTTAAATTTGAATAGAATTTCTTCGACTTATAAATAAAAGTTCATTATCTCATTCGTTTACGAATCAAACATTTCCCTTCCGTGGTTGCAATACAATATAAAACTAGAAATTAGAAAAATTTATCATCACGCGTGATCTACGGTTTGTTGTTAGTGTGGAAAGCAAGATACAGCTCTCGAACAATTCTAGGGTTTTTAGGTAACGTTGAGGAACGGGTGAACGTGGAAAAGCTATAGTAGGCTTGGGAACCACAGTGTGTTCTACTTGTTACCATTTCCCTTTCCTTTTTTTCGCCCCATGTAAGGTAATCCGGATTCCGGAATCCAGGAAATTTTTGCCTGTGGAATCCGGAATACTGGGCTCTGGAATCCAGAATCCAGCTTTTGGAATCCAGGATCCCGCTAAAAAGGGAATCCAGAATCCAGTTGCTGAAAATCCATTTCAAATCGTATTAGCGGCTTTCACGCGCATCCATGCAACCACTGTGGAGTGCAGTTCACTCACGTTATCAATCGGTGCTCAAAGTGAGCTTTCAAATCCCACAGGATTTGCTTGGAACATCAATATGGCCGCTATTTGATTGTTTTGGAACACCTCTAAATAATGATATGGCCGCTAGGACGTCCTGTGAGATTAACTTACCTTGTCAAAGATACGTTTTAGTTTTGCTTTTAATCGAGGAATTTGTAAATTTCTGTGAAAATAATCTAACTGTTGACAACTTGGATGCTTTGCTTTTGCCCGCTTTCCCCGCCGGTTTTTTAAGCAAATTGGGCGCACGACAAGCCTTGGAACCGGAAACTGCGCTACTTTTATCTGGCACCCAGGGTAGAGGTATCGACCTTAATACTTAATACTTAATACTCTTTTCATTTTCGACTCTTTCGAACTTTCTGGCACTCCTGACTCGCGACTGACCAAAATAAAAAATAAATACTCATTTTCCATAAATCATAATGAGAGCATCAGAAAGTAATATTCTCCTGATGGCCGTGGAGGCATAGTTGTAATTAGAAGCCAGACGAAAGCCAGGAACTGTCAAAACTGCACCAGTCACTCAGAGCACGTGGAGGGACACAAGCCGCAGTATACAGAAAATTTGCAGTGTCTTTTTCAATATTGTTTTATCATTTGCTTATTCGATTAGCTCTTTCTCTAAATCTCGATACTTCAATCATAATCTATGGGGAAGCACGAGAAAAAGCAAAAGGCGGAGAGGGAAAGGTAAGTGTAACATTGTAATGATTCAATTGATTTTCTGTTCCATTTTAAACTAATTTAACCTCCAGCGAAACTTACAAAAAATTAATGAAAATGCATCTTCAGGAGCTCAAGAAACCGAAGAAAGAAAGACAAAAAAGAAAATGCACGAGTTCAAGATCATCGAGGTTTGAGGATTTTTGTGTATTATGAAACACTTTTGAATTTTTTTTCGGGGTTGCAACGAACAAACAGGAACGACGGAGGTTTTAATTACAAACTATGGTCAGTAATAATTTTTTCTAGGTTAGAGCGTAAATCGTCAATGTAGTAAAATTCGGAAGTTTAAAAGAAGTTGAAAGACTCGAAAAAACGCTTTGCTAAACTTGAGAATACCTGGCCAATTGTTTGCATCTCATGGAACAACAATGTATTATGCCTCCTTAAATGACGAAACGCAACAAACGTACAGCATGACTCGCTTATTAGCAGTGCTTTAGGCCTTTTGTCGTTTTGAGATCAGTTACGCTAGAGGCTTGAATAAACTCTGCTTGTTAAATATTTTATTATGCTACCTGGTACTGATCATGAAAATCGCTTACTTTGCGCAAAATTTCGCCCGAATCGTGATTCACACTTAAACACACACTTTTTTAAATTGAGAATACCTGGCCAATTGTTTGCATCTCATTGAACAACAGTGTATTATGCCTCGTTAAATGCTGGAACGCAGCGAACGCACAGCATGACTCATGTAAATGAAGATCTTTCGCGATTTTTCAAAGGTGTAAGTATAGTTGAATTGGTTTAACACCGTTTAATGCGCAATCTCGTCGAACATCATCGCCAATTACATCTAGGAAAACAAGCTTTTCTGTCCGCGATTTACTCGGGGTGTTATTAAAATTTTATTCCGCTTTAAATTTTTGGCTCAATGCCATGGTTTTTGTTTAAAAGGAAAGTTTAAAAAGTAATTTGAGATGATAGGGAAATATTTTCGAGCTGTTTTCTTGGCAGTTCTAAGTCAATTTTATATTTAATAAAATTGGCCATCTTTTCCAAGTCGGAACAATGTTATGCTGTACCAGAAAAACTTTTTAGTCCAACAGTTATTTACAAATTAAAAATGATAAGCAATGATTTGAACTATTAGTTCTTTGTTACTGTTAAATCACTTGAAGAACCTCGAGGAACCTGTATGAAAGAAATGCGGCCTGGCCTCTTCAGAGTTGCTAAAAGATTTGGAATGAATGGACATTGGACTTAAGAGACGGACAGTCTCAACAGGTATTCCTAAAACAAAAATTTATCCCTTAATTTGCTGTTATACATTTCAAATGTCATAATTTCAAGTCTCATAATTATCAAATGTTGTTATGGAAATATGAATAGACAAACATGCATTCACAAACATGTCCTTCAATAGCGAAATCCGCCATTGAAGTCATTCCTAGAAAACGAAATGTGAAAATTAGGGGCAAACCAGAAACTAAAATCTGGAATCTTTTGTGTTTTGGAATCCGGAATCTGCAACGGTAGAATCCGGAGTCCAGCACCTGGAATCCGGAATCCACAACGTGGAATCCAGAATTTTATACTGTCCTGGATTACCTTACATGGGGCGATTTTTTACTGTTATTGGTTTCGGTTTTGTGTTAATATTTAGCGCCTTTTTCAGTTTTTCCCTTTGCACTGATCTGACGGTGATCAGGAGTATTTTGGCGGAAATCGTTGAACTAGAGGGAGAGATTCTAAGTGAAAAATTCGGCCTTGAACCCCGTTTCTGTTGCAGCCCAAACGACAGCGACAGTTAATTGCACCTTACGCCGATTATCCTTTTGAAGGATTTAGAGTTGAGAGATAGCGGATTCAAGGATACAAGTGCGAAAGATGTTTTGAGTCGGGTGACAAAACACATTTGCGACTCAAAAGATTCATCTTTGTTTCAAATCCCGGAAATACCCGCCTTTCACATGGGGTACGCTAAAAAACCCGAGAACAAAAAAAGAAACATGGCTATCGATCACGAACAATTGAGCTAAAATTTGGATGTCATATCTGAATCTGTCACGTTTCAATCAAGATTCTGAAGGGGAAGAGTGACACGAGCCAACTTCATCCGATGAAGAAATGGATATTGACCCACTAACAACACAAGATACGCCAAATCAAGATGACAAGGATTTGGTCAGCCCGCTCAATAGCGGACTACGCTTTGCCTAGAGAGGATCGCACATTCCTTTGATTTCAATCTTTTTTATTTTCTTTGACAAGAAGAAAAAGAAGATAAATTCTACCAGATCGAATGAGGACGAACCAAGGACTGGGGCGAAAAAGGTCTCTGGTTTCCTTTTGTTTTGGATTATTCCATATCTGCTTAGTTATACCCATCAGAAAGTACGAGAGATCGTGAAGCGCCATCAAGATCACAACCGACGCGAGTTTCGGTCAACTTGCAAAAGGTCCAGTTTTGATTTCATCAAGGAGGCAATTTCAACTTGTGGATTTCCAGCTGAACTTAAAACAACCGTTTTATCGAAATACAAAGATTTTTATGGAACGGGTAGGATTTGTTGAAAAGTCCCGAAACACGCCAGTGATTTCAGTCCCAAAGCGTTACAAGGTCACGCAAATGCTAGCAGAACTTGAGGATATTCTAAACAAATGTCGTGTGCTTGGTGATATAACACTAACAAAAATTTTGTATAAAGCAACTTTATCAAAAACAGGGAAATTTAAAGAGATTTGTTCCATTCGTTTCCACATGTCCACAGGGTGTCGATTATGCGATTATCCTGCCTGAGGAGGAACCATCTCTTGAAGTAATACGTGACCTGGAAGAGACAAGTCACGATATCTTTTTCTCTCCAAAAGTTTATTCCAAGGGAGGCCGTGACATCATCGTGCCAAGCATTGGGTTGGTTACCGCCAGAGACAAACATCTAAGTGTTTGCTTTTCCTACTTTCAAGGTAAGCTTGCTGCGGATGTAGATCTCAATTATTTTTACAAATAGAGGTTGGATGTTACAGAATCTTCTTAAACAGTTAACCTCTACACTGACAGAACTAGCTTTTAATTTATAATTGTTAACACAACAAGCTGAGCTATGAGCAGGATACTGATTTAACCAGTGGAAGGCATTCTACATCTTTGAAAGAACCTTAGATTATCCTGTACTTTATGTAATTTCTACATGATTTTCTCCATCAGGATTTCCAATTAGAATTGAGTATTTTTTTTCTGGAAGGGGAGAGAACCTTTTATTTTTGACACCTTTAAGTATAAATGAACCTGAATTCAAGATTGTTTTCATGGTCAATCCATATCCATGCTTGTTTCATATGGAAATGAATCAGACTTGATATGGTGACCTATAAGTTTTTTTTTGTTCTAGTCTTAACATAATCTAGTCTGACATTCCTTGCAAGTTGCTTGTAAAGAAGTCTCCCTTGAGTCTGTTTTTTCTTCCTGCAAAATATTTTTATCACAAATGGGAAAGTAGATTGTATGCTAGCTCCACAAGATAACTTTGAAGAAAGAGAGGGAGTTTTTTCAATAATTTCTCTTCTATTAACTTACAAATTTATTTGAATGTTAATTTCTGCATTTTTTGTGCTGCTTGTATGAAATTAAATTCAAGAATTTTTAACATACAATGTCCATAACTCTGCCTCATATAGATCTGTTTAATGTCTGGGTTTAGTTTAAAATTAAAAATCTTAAAAAGTTATTTCAAGATTTTAAAGTTAGTCAGCCTTTGATAATGTTAGTAGTGAAATGGCAACAAGTTTTATTCAAGTTCTCTGAATGAAACTTTATTTAAAACATCAGTTAGAAAGGTTGTCATAGATATTAAAGGGTGTAAATAATGAATAAATGTACCACCATCAGGCAACATTTTAACATCTATTGTAAAGGATTTATTGTATACGAAAAAGAATCTCTTTATTAAGGATCAAGAATGACATTTTTATTTCAAGAGCTGGGAAAGACAGCCAACAGTAGAACTATCAGAATTCAGTGTTATGTTTATGCTGCCCTAAATCCTGAAGTTTTACTAGTTTCCTAAGGAAATACTTTTTTGGCAGCCAACCCCTCCTTAAGTATAGAGTGATGTGTCTCCTAATTCAAGAATGGTATTATGTCTTCAGGTTGGTTGGTATAAAGCAGATTCCAACTTCCTTCTGGAGATATTTGTAGATATTTTTTAGAACAAGAATTGAAAGATGTATGAAATGAGGAATTATACCCAGACTCCCAAATTCACAAGTAATCCGTATGATAATGATGAACTGCCTATTTAATTTTTTTGTAATATTCTCAGATGAGTGTTGGCATTTATGGATTATCATTTAACCACATTTCAGTATCGTACCCCTTTAACCCTCAAAGGATGTTGTCAGGCATACTTTCTAATCCACCATCCCAAAGTCCACTGTCAGCACCATTGCAGGTAAATTACTAATCATGTGACAAAAATAAATAAGAGCTATCCACACCGACAGTGGCAAAATGAATGTGCAAGCTTGAAACGCACTCAAAAAGGAATGAGAATGATACAAGAAAACGAACAGAATAAAACAAAGTTCAGAGATCAAGCCTCTGTGGTGCCCTGCGAACTCTCTGAGGGTGTTGTCGCATTTTGACCATCGGACTAACTGTAGCTGGTTTAGCATCAGGAGGGTCAGGTACCGTAGGTGTGGAAACAGGAACCATCTTTGGTTGATCTTTTTTGGAACCTCCTGGAGCTGTGCCGCCCTCAGTGGTTGGAGTACTTGATGTAATTGGGGTCAGTGGTGTGTTGGCCATTTCAGGTTGGCTGACTTCAACACTACAGTCGGCGTCAGTGCTTTCAACTGTGTGTCCAACTGCCGTTGGTCTCAACTGATCAATATGTCGGCGCCAGGTCAGTCCCGGTGCCACCTGTACCTCATACATCAGCGGACCTGTTTTGTTAACAATCAGCCCTGGACGCCACTTCAGATCCCCTCGATAATCCCGTGACATAACTGAGTCACCAATCTCTAACTGGCGATACTGTTTACCCTTGTCAATCGCTGCCTTAATGCTCTGCTGGTGTTGTTGGTTAACCATCTTACGGTTTAAGTTAGGTTTCACCAAATCTAGGAGAGTACGCAATGGTCTTCCCAGGAGTAACTGTGCTGGGCTCTCACCGGTGGTGGAGTGTGGAGTGTTCCTGTAAGCTATGAGAAACTTCGCCAACTTCTCCCTCACTGGCTTGGGGCTTTGACGCATGGAACGCAAAGCCTGTTTGAAGGTCTGTACTGTCCTTTCCGCAAGACCATTCGTCGCTGGATGGTACGGTGCTGAAGTTATATGGCGGATGCCATTGGACTTGACAAATGTCTGGAATTCCTCCGAAACAAACTGTGTACCATTGTCACTGACTATCTGTTCTGGAATTCCGAATCTGGCGAACAAATCGCGTAGAATTTCGATAGTCGAACTTGAAGAAGTTGACTTGACTGGAACCACTTCTGGCCACTTGGTGTGTGCGTCGACAACCACTAAGAACATCGAGTTCTGAAATGGCCCTGCGTAGTCGATGTGTATACGCTGCCATGGTTTAGTGGCCCACTCCCACGGATGTAGTGGTGTTTTAGCAGGCATCTTCTGATTTTGCTGACACCCGCTGCAGCCTTTCGCTAGCTCTTCCAGATGACCATTGATATTAGGCCACCATACGTAGCTCCTCGCGAGTGCTTTCATTTTGACCATGCCCAGATGCCCATCATGAAGTTCCTCTAACACTCTGCTTTGTAACTTATTGGGAACGACCACTCTCATTCCCCATAGGATGCAGCCTTGGTGAACTGTCAGTTCATTGCGTCGCTCGTAATAAGGCTTGTCTCCCTCCACACGAGTAGACCATCCTTTCACGATAGAATCATGTATCCTCGCTAGGACAACGTCACGACGTGTTTCTCTTGCCACTGCTTCACTGGTTATAGGTAATGGCACAAACTGAGAGGCGTGGAACACCTCTGTTGAATCCACCTCCAAGTCTTCTCGCTCTTCCTGCTGGAGAGGGAGCCGCGACAGTCCATCGGCATTGCAGTGTTTGGTTGTACTCTTATACTCAATGATATAGTCGAACCCAGACAAGAACAATGCATATCGCTGAAGCCTTGCAGCAGTCATGGCTGGAACTCCCTTTTCTGGGTGGAAGATGGCAGTGAGGGGCTTGTGGTCTGTAATGAGCGTAAATCGTCTCCCATAGAGGTAAACATGAAATCGTTTCACCCCCCACACAATGGACAATGCCTCCTTGTCTATCTGTGCATACCGTCGTTCAGTCTTGGTCAACGATCGGGACGCAAAAGCTACCGGCCTTTCGCTACCATCGGACATGACGTGTGAAAGAACCGCGCCGATGCCAGTTGGTGAAGCATCACATGCCAGCCTAACCGGTAATGCTGGGTCATAGTGCGTTAGCACCTGCTCAGATGTAATCATACGCTTAGCCTCAGTGAACGCTCGCTCGCACCGTTCAGTCCACTGCCATTCGTTGTTTTGCTCTAACAACTGGTGAAGTGGGTGGAGAACTGTAGACGCATTGGGCAAGAAACGGTTGTAATAGTTTACGAGCCCTAAAAATGAGCGAAGCTGTGACACATTCTCAGGTCTTGGTGCACTGACCACTGCTTCAATCTTCTCTTGTGTCTTGTGTAGACCTTCCTTATCGATCTCATGCCCACAAAACTGAACTCTATCTTTGAAGAACTCGCACTTTTCCTTGTTAGCCTTCAGACCCGCAACTTGTAATCGCTTGAGTACACTCTCCAGGTTCTCCAAATGTTCTTCATCGGTTTTACCTGTGACAATCATGTCATCAAGGATGCACTGGGTCCCAGGTATTCCCTGTAATACCTGGTCTATGGCACGCTGCCAAATGGCTGGAGACGAAGAGATGCCAAAGACTAAGCGATTGTATCGAAAAAAGGCCCTTGTGTGTATTAATCGTAAGGAGTTCCTTGGATCTTTCGGTTACTTCCATCTGGTGATAAGCTTGGCGAAGGTCAAGCTTGCTGAAATGTCTACCGCCAGCCAAATTTGCAAAAATATCCTCTATACGTGGCAGAGGGTACTGTTCTGCAAGAAGTACTGGGTTCACTGAGACCTTAAAATCGCCACAAACTCGTACCGATCCGTTTCGCTTGACTACCGGGACAATTGGGGTCGCCCATTCACTGTATTCTACTTTAGAGAGAATACCTTCCTTCTCTAAGCGTGTCAATTCTGCTTCTACTTTGGGGCGGAGTGCGTATGGCACTTGGCGTGGTTTATGAAAGCTGGACTGGCAGCCTTCCTCGACCTTCAAATCCGCCTTGTAGCCTTTAAGTGTGCCCAGATTTTCGGAGAAAACAGACTCGTACTTCTGTAGTAGCTGATCCACTTTGCGTGCCATACCCCCTTCTGAAGTCTTGCTAAGCTTAAAGGTTTTGATTTCACCCCAGTTCAGTTGAATGTTGGACAGCCAGTCACGCCCAAACAGTGCTGGTCCCTGCGTCTCAACAACTTGTAGGTTTAACTCTTTTCCTGGCCCTTGAACTTAACATTACATCTCATCTCTCCCCTTAGGTGTGATTTTCTGCCCAGTGTATGTCTTAAGTGTCACAAGGCTCTTTGAAAGTTTGACATGATTAAAATGTTCCTTATATTGTTTGTATGGAAGTACAGACACCGCCGACCCTGTGTCTAGTTCCATCTTGACCACCTTTCCCTGTATTTCGGGGTTGACCCATATTACGTGATCCTTGTCACCCACATTATTAACCTCAAGGGATGCCAAATAATCATCGCTGTCCCCGTCATCGCTGTCTACATAATTTACTGGGGTTGGGAAACTTGTGTCTCTTTTTTTTTCTTTGATTTACAAGCCCTCACAATGTGACCAGTCTTGTTACAGTGGTGGCATTTTTTTTTTCTTGAATGGACAACTTTTGT